CGTATTCTAGTTCGTATCTAGTCTCACGTCGTATTCTAGTTCGTATCTAGTCTCATGTCGTATTCTAGTTTGTATCTAGTCTCATGTCGTATTCTAGTTCGTATCTAGTCTCATGTCGTATTCTAGTTCGTATCTAGTCTCATGTCGTATTATAGTTTGTATCTAGTCTCATGTCGTATTATAGTTTGTATCTAGTCTCATATTGTATTCTAGTTCGTATCTAGTCTCATGTCGTATTATAGTTTGTATCTAGTCTCATGTCGTATTATAGTTTGTATATAGTCTCATGTCGTATTATAGTTTGTATCTAGTCTCATGTCGTATTATAGTTTGTATCTAGTCTCATGTCGTATTCTAGTTTGTATCTAGTCTCATATCGTATTCTAGTTCGTATCTAGTCTCACGTCGTATTATAGTTCGTATCTAGTCTCATGTCGTATTCTAGTTCGTATCTAGTCTCACGTCGTATTATAGTTTGTATATAGTCTCATGTCGTATTCTAGTTTATATCTAGTCTCACCAAACTAGAATACGACGTGAGACTATATACAAACTAGAATACGACGTGAGACTAGATACAAACTAGAATACGACGTGAGACTAGATACAAACTATAATACGACGTGAGACTAGATACGAACTATAATACGACATGAGACTAGATACGAACTATAATACGACATGAGACTAGATACAAACTATAATACGACGTGAGACTAGATACAAACTAGAATACGACATGAGACTAGATACGAACTAGAATACGACATGAGACTAGATACGAACTAGAATACGACATGAGACTAGATATAAACTAGAATACGACGTGAGACTAGATACAAACTATAATACGACGTGAGACTAGATACGAACTAGAATACGACATGAGACTAGATACAAACTAGAATACGACATGAGACTAGATACAAACTATAATACGACATGAGACTAGATACAAACTAGAATACGACAGTGAGACTAGATACGAACTATAATACGACATGAGACTAGATACAAACTAGAATACGACGTGAGACTAGATACAAACTATAATACGACGTATCTAGTCTCATGTCGTATTCTAGTTTGTATCTAGTCTCATGTCGTATTATAGTTCGTATCTAGTCTCACGTCGTATTATAGTTCGTATCTAGTCTCATGTCGTATTATAGTTCGTATCTAGTCTCAGTCGTATTATAGTTCGTATCTAGTCTCATGTCGTATTATAGTTTATATCTAGTCTCACGTCGTATTATAGTTTATATCTAGTCTCACGTCGTATTCTAGTTCGTATCTAGTCTCATGTCGTATT